CTTATGCTATATCCAAACTGTGTAAACAAGGCAGCGTTTCTAAACATTAAGCGAGCAGTTTTGCAATCAGGTAAAAACTTCTGTGACAAATTAAACTGACAAGGTATTAAAAAGCCCCTTTTTTACTGCTCAGAAATACTGGGCAAATATAACTTTATAGCTTTTTAATTTTGTCTGAAAACCAGAATATGATTTTGGTCTAGCATTTCAAAGTAGACTTTGAATCTTTAGTGAATTCCATACCCTTGCATTTCAGTGTTTTCTATGTATTATTTTAAGTTAAAGCTTTTAAATAGTTGAGCTTTTTAATGTTGACACTTTATTTTGTACCTATTTATATGTATGTATATCTTAGAAAAGCACTTTGTTTAAAAAAAAAAAAAAAAAGAAACTGCGTTTTATATGATTCCTGCCACTTGCTGCTAACTCTGGGCTGGTCAGAATGCTGCAGCGATACTTGATATAAATAAAACCTGGCAGTAAAATGTAGAGTAAAGATAAGACCTTTTGCTGGTTTAACTTTATCATAAAGGTGACATAGGCAAGCTGTGCAGCTTTACATTTTAACCAGGGGACTCTGTGGCATTTAAACCGTCTAGAAATGGTTGTACTTTAATGCCAGTAACAATCTGCTTCCTCTAGTGTCATTAAAATATATACATTTAGTGTATACTTATCACAAACAAAAATCTTATAAGGGTATAAAAACCAACAAATGTACATGTTCTGTTTTTTGGCAATTGTGGCATGCATTTTTGGATGATCTTTAGAGAAGACAATTTTCTAAAGATTTTTCAGTGTTCATACATGGTATGTGGATCTTAATGAAGTCCTGGATTTTTTTGTTTGTTTTTGAGTGTAGGCATTGTGAATGTTCACTTTTAATCCTATATCCAAAAACAATTATACATTTTTGATTTAATACAAACAAAAGCTCTTCCTTTTTCTGATACACTGGATTCTCTAGAATTTGTTTCCATATTAAAAGCATGCTGTCATAACTGCTCTTGTTGAGATCTCGTCAGTCTGAACTTAGGTGCCACACTTTGAATTGATGGACTGCTTGTTCTGCTGTACCATGTATGAGTCGCGTCCTTTCCTACTTCCTTCATGACAGATGATGATGTGGCTTTATATTGTGCCTTACTTGTACATCTAGAACTAAATGTTTTTCATTCCCTCTGAACTCTTCAAACCTAACCCTTCTGAAATTGAATCAGAACTGATAAAAGCATCCTGAAGAAAGTCTGGATCGATCTGATTTCAGTTTCTCTCAGTAGTAGTCCTTTTGTATTTATATGGAAGTTTTTGAATAGCCTTGCAAAATGTGGGGGTGCTCATGAAGGGTGTTTTTTAGCCCTAAACCCCTTTTGCTAACGCTTCCTTTTATGGTTTATTGAACACATTTACTGATACTTGGTGAGTACTTTTTTTGGATGGGAGAGACTTACTACTAAAGCTATGTTTACGTGTGGATGGGCTGGATTTTATTATCATACCAGTTAAAATCATTGTGATTTAATGAAGTTGCATTGCTGTAAAGCTGATGTGAGAGTCAGGCTCAGCTGTGTTCAGTTCCTAATTCTTTATAGATAGACTTTTTTCCATACTAAGAGGGCCAGGAAAAAGTTTTTAAAAAAAAAACAAACAAACAAAAAAAAAAACTAAAATGGATGAAGGGTCGTTTAACTAACCTAAAAGAAGCAACCAGGCGCTTCTGAAATACAGTGGTGTCAGTTTTGATTTTATTTTAAAAAGATCCCCCCCTAATATTTATCTGGTATTTGCCTTCATTAATAAAACAGTTAGCTTATTCACAAAATATAAAGACTGGATGTGCTTTTCCATAAATCATTTAAACATAGCTATTTTTTTAAAGCTCTAAAAGGCTTTATCAGGAGAATTTCAAAGGGTTGTATACAAGTTGCCTTCAGCAGAAATAGCAAATGCAATTCTGTTCCTCAAACGTGCTTGCTAGTCTTCCTGAAATTCTGTTGAGGCATAACCCAATTACGTACCGTGAATGTTAGGATCTGTATTTGGCCTTGAGACCTGAATTTCAAGAACGCGTCTAATCATGATTTTATTTTCTCTTTAAGTTGGAGGCTTCAGTTGGAATCATCTAGTTAAGTGTGCTGCTAGATGTGGTCTTGGCTTATTGACACAGCCTTGCACACAGCTGAGGTTTATTTTGTTTACCCCAGGGATCGTGTGAAGTACATTTCAAACAGTTACTGCTTCAGTGGCTGATTCTTCTTGTAACTGTATTAAGGGCATTAGTATGTTGAGAAAACACCACTCTTTAATATCTCCCAATATAAATTGGGATTCTTAAATGTCATTAATGAAAGGTGGCACTTGTAGATTATATCTTCTTTGCAGCATACAAAAATGTCTCTATCTTTCTACAATTTACATTTCACAATATGCCATGTTTTTCCCCCCAATGCTTCTAGCATGATAAGAAGGTGTGTGTGCGCACTGAATTATAATCCTCAGCCTCTTAGACATTCATGAACTTCCACAAGAGCAAATACTGACTATGCATTTATTGTCTTTCTAATGAGCTGCGGAGCTAAACGTGGAGCCAGAGCTATTTTAAGCCACGCTTCCCCCCCCCCCTAAAAAAAATAGAACTCCAAACTTCAGTGTTCAGGGTTTTTCGTGAGTTAAGAATATTTTGTAGTCGGGTATCTGTGTAAGTCAAATTTGGGTGAGTTAACTAGCTACTGTAAGGAAAACTTCTGGATTGGATTTGGTATTGGCAAAAGCACACTCCGCCCTATCAAAATCTTCTGATTAAGAAACAGAACCTCGTAGTAGCACTTAATTTTATTTATCTTTCTTATCATGATGGATATTCATACATTCTGATTTGAATCATCTATCTTCCCAGAATATTATGTCCAAGTAAAACTTATTGCTCAGTATTTGTGGTTGGGTGAACTCTTAAGGCTGATGGCACATGCGGACATAGGTGGTTGACAGGCAAGAAAAAAAAGCATTTTAAACAAAACTTGGCATCCTGTTCTGCCTATGCTTGGGGTCATGATTGTAATGCTGTCCTTGATATTCTATAATCAACTTCCAACTGGAGCTCAGAAAAACTTACTGAAAGTCTTGTCTCTGTTAGAAAATAAATTTACCTTGTTAAAAGCATGATCTGTTAAGAGTTGCAATGTTTAATGTTGGTTAATAGTTGTGCGGTTTTTATTTTTTTGAAAAGAGGCACAATTAAACTATTGACTTTGTTTACTCTGTCACCCTTGATCCCTAGCACTTCTATTCAGATACAAATTCATCAATGTATGCAACATCCTTTGTAATTTAAAATAAAAATTGTGGAGGAAATATTGTCTGGAATCATTGTTATGTGTGGAGTGATAGTGAATGGCGTATGCTCCCTTGAAGTAAATGCCCTTGGTCTCCTGCTATGGTCAGCAACTTTCCTTTGGAAGGGATCATAGCAAGGTAAGGAAATAACTTGCTCCACCCCCTGGGTCAGTGCTCGTACTAACGGCTGCCTCGCAAGGCTGCTGGGCCAGCACGGTGGGACCATCAGGAGACCCTGGACTGCAACCCACCAGGTCCTTTGACTGGCTTTCTGCAGTGGCCGTGAAAACTGTCTCCATCTTCAACGCCTGCTAGCTTTGTCCAAACCTGGTTTGTCACGCAGCATGGTCTGAGGGCAGGAGGGGGAAGACACGGCGCCAGGGGAGGAGTTTGTGGAAAAAGCAAAAGGGCCATTGCGTTGCCTCCCCTTTCCTCCTTTCAGGGGTACAGAAGGTACCTCATGTTGTTCCCTCAGCCTCCTCACACTGACAGCGGCCACCTTCCCTGCTGCTGAGGGTCAAAGACCTTGTCGGCCTAGGCCTGTCCACCCAGAAACCTTGGGAGGTCTGTTGGGTATAAAGCTGTGCAGCTTCTGAGGCCGGTGCAGCCCTGACGTTACCGCTGCTTCTCCCAGGTGTCACGGTAGGTGCTGCTTTGGGACAGGGACCTTTTTGCAGCTCACGAGGGCTAAGGGGCCCACCTTAGCCCTCATCAGCTAATAAACCGCCTTTTCATGCTTTTACGTACTGCGAGGAGGAATGTTTCACTACCCGAAGAACTATAAAATCTAACACTGGCAGCACTAAGGGAACACAATACGCGTTATTCCGCACAGGGCCGCCACTGTTGAACAGAAC